TATAATTATTTTAGCAAATAAAATTATTTTAATCGTCAACTTCGATCTGAAAATACGCTATTTTCTATCCAATGTTGTTTCCTTTCCATTCAAGAAAATGATTCTTAAATAATAAGCGTGTACTTTTCTTGATTGAATTATATAAAATTGCTTCAGTCAAGCAAGTTTTTCTTGCTTTAACGCAATATAATCTCATTTCAAGATTTTCACATTGAAACTAAACATATTTTCAAAAGAAGAATATTCTATGTTAATGCATTTTATATGTTAATGCTCGATGTGATGTCAATTCTTGTAGAGTGAAATATCTGTTACAAACGAACGCGATAAAAAAATATTCACCCTGTCCAGAAAAAAAGTCTAAAAACCGAGGGGGAAACCGCTGATCAAAATCTTGTACGCCAATGCCCACTAATGCCCAGTGGGCATTACATTATCTTATTATCTTATTTTATCTCAAGATTTTATCATTTTATCTTTATAAGGCCCCAGCAAGGCCTAATGCCTAAACTAATGCCCGAAAAATGCCTAGTAATGCCCAGTAATGCCGCAAATCTGTACACCACAATGCCCTGAGCGGTTTACCCCTCGCTAAAAACAGTAGCTAACACAGTAACGACCGGTAGCAAAAATCAATTTGGAAGTGTGAAAGTTATGATCCAGCGCTACGAATTCCGCGCGTGTCCTGCTCCTGCTCGCCGTCACTTAAAATCCAGAGAACGCGCAAAAACGTTACAATAATCGACAGGGTACTTTCGAACACGTATCTAATCTCGTGAATTTAATCTCGACGATTTACATTCGGCTTCTGTTGAACGCGTGCCTATTAAGACGCGAGTAATATGCATCTTAAGAATTCACCTTCCTTATCGTGTCGAGGATATGATTAGGCCATTACTATTGCATTCAGCCAGTCGATAGCGTATTGTTTTACAATCCAGCTACTTTCTAATTGCTGCTTTCTTCCGTTACTTCCAGTTGCTCATTATGCGGACGCATTCCTTGGCGAGACTATTACTGCGCGATAGACGTTTTTATTTAGCATTAGAGATGGGAAACTGTTGACGTACGATTGTTGAATTATGCCGCGTTGGCCGGACAAGGCGTTTAGAAATTGTTTCCGCGACAATTCCGGGCGACAATTCTTCCCGTGGAATTAAAATTAAAAGTTTAAAGCCACTTTTCTGAAGCTGAAGAAAGCACAAACCTTTCTAATATTTTCTTCCGTTACTTCTGCATAATTAAACAAACGCTTGTGATATTAATTGAAGAAATTAATAATGAATTAGCGTTACAAATACTTGTCTTTCGGGCGACAGATCTTGTTTCTGCGCAATAAAACTCTGTAAATTTACGACGAACGTGCCGTTGTTGTAAATTATAGAGGGGGGACAGATAATTCCGCACGCAACTCGCGATACCTTTTGGCGTCATTCTAAGTTAACGAGCGTACAGAGTTGACTGCTTAAAACCAAGCGTGACTAAACGTACTGTAAAACAGTAAACGGCGCTGAAATCTAAACGTCACTTTCTAGCTCATTGAAACGCGTCGACTGATGCACCGTGACGATTTCGATTCTTCACGCGAATACGCCACGCCATTCCTCAAGATTAATGAGCGTGGATAAATTTGACTTGATCGATTGTGTTTTTCCGTCAATGGATATGCGAGTTTACGTAAATACGTTGAGGAATACAATGCGCTTTAGTAAGTTATATTGATACGTAATGTTTTTATTCATAACAATTAAGGTAGCTCCTGCACGAAGGAGCGGAAAAGTACGAAATCTCGTTCCATAACCCCTATGTTAAAAAGCACAACTTTAATATTTTTTATAACAAGAATAAAGGCTTATTGTCACCAGTACATAACTAACAGTGTAGGAAAATTGATAACCGACACAACTGGCAATTTTAATCAGAGAAAATTTATTGCGACAAAACATCACCTCAGCCAGGGTTTGAACCTGGACTTCCCTAGTTCTAGTTTAGGTTAAGGTCCTAGTTAAATAAATTTTCTCTAATTAAAATTGCCAGTTGTGTCGGCTATCAATTTTCCTACACTGTTCAATATTTCTTCTTTCTTTTATTTCATTGGCGGCTGGGTCTAAAATTTCGCGTGCCGACAGATAAAACTTGAAACTGCAAAACACCCTCAAATTTCACTCGAGACAAATTGATTTGTCTTGACAATTAAAACGACAGACTCTTCAATCTCCTGTAATCTCAATAGTCTCTATAATCTTTCCGTTACTTAAAATTAATTATCACGAGGAAGACAAATCTGTATAAAAAAAGCAACTCGACGATTGTTGCAGGAAATCCAAAAGAAGACTCTGACTGCGGAACCAACCCGATCCACGGTAATATCGATGAGTCCGAGGAATACCGTTCATTCTCCGAAAAGCGCGGCGCGAAGTGACGTGCCATGCCCTACGGCCTTCGAAGTTCCTACCAGTTGCGAGACGAGTTTTAGCAACGACTCGCGATTATCGCGCGATGTAATCAGCGGTCCGGAAGCGAAGATGCCGGAGATCTATCGGCCGCCGGTCCCCTTCGCGCCCTCCGATCAGATCGCGCCGCCCGCGAACGCGGCGAGGAGCAACGAGCAACCCCTCTTTCAGAACGCCGGCAACGCGGCCCCGGCGCAATCGCTGTCCCCGGGCAATGACGGCGTTATCACGAGTGCCGGCAAAAGTGGCGGATATCCGACGCAGGTGGCTCCGCAGACGCCGACGAAACCCGAGCTGTCGCACCCGATCAGCAGACTCTGCGACACGATCGAGGCCGACGAGAAGAAGGAGGCGTCCAAGGCGGAGGTGGAGAACGCGGAGAAAAGCGGTGACGAGAGGGTCGCGAGGATTTTCGTCAACAGCGACAACAACAATAACAACGAGACGATCGTGAGCACGGAGGTGGCACAGCGCGGACGACCGGCGGACGACCACAGGTGCGATCAGTGTGGGAAGACTTTCGTCACGAGAGCGTCGCTCAAGGTATGCTTCTTGCCCAATAAATCAAACACTAATGCTTGGGAGGCCGGGCATTTCGATTCCCAGGCAGAAACGTAGACATTATAGATCGCAGAGATTAGCCAGAGATTTAGCTGGATAGATTTCACGGAGCCTAAACATAGACCCCTCGATCACCTTGGATTGCACAAGTCCTAAACTATCAAACCCGGTTGTTTTTCTCGCTGATGATGTTCCTCACGCATGATGTTCCATAAGTCACTACGCAAATTACAACCTTCTCGTCTGTTTTTCTTTTCCCTCCCCGTTAATGTTAGATACGGCAAGACTCTAATTTCGTGGAATTTCGTAGAGTTTAAGTGTCAGTTACGTTGGAATTAATGTCAGTTAAATTACCGTCGTCCTTACTTACGACATTACGTGTTTGGTGCAAGCGGTTTGTACCTGATCGTGTACACACTCTCGTGTCTATATCGATTATGAAGAACGAGATACCGATGTTGTCTAAGTCACTCCATACGCCTACTCTTCCCCCCCGTGGTTTTTCGGCTCCGTACTCCTAAATAGCAACTTTGTTCCGTTATATCGCCGCGCTGATCGCGAAGGAGAGACGACAGATCGCGAGAGTCCAAGACGCGGCCCACGCTAAATCTTTCTCCTCTTTTGCCCTTCGTCCTCGGCCCCGCAGCCTTGCAAATAGCCTACACATGGTCGTGTCTATGTGATCGTCACAGGTGCACAGCCGAACGCACTCCGGTGAAAAGCCGTTCCGCTGCGCCGACTGCGGCAAGCAGTTTTCGCAGCTGCGCAATTACAAGTACCATCGCAGCGTGCATGAGGGCACGCGGGAGTTCGCCGCCACTTGTCCGGAATGCGGCAAGTACTTCAACGACCGCGGCTACCTGAGCTCGCACATGAAGATCCATCGGAACCGCAAGGAGTACGGCTGCGCGGAATGCGGGAAGAGCTTCAATCAGCGAGTGGCCTACAACATGCACGTGCGCATACACACGGGCGTGAAGCCGCACCAGTGCGATCAGTGCGGAAAGGCGTTCTCGCGGAAGATGCTGCTTAAGCAGCACCTGAGGACTCATTCCGGCGAGCGGCCGTATCAGTGCCAAGTCTGCCAGAAAGCGTTCGCCGACCGCTCCAACATGACCCTACACACTAGACTACACTCCGGCCTGAAACCCTACCAATGCAACTTGTGCTCCAAGGCTTTCACCAAGAAGCACCACCTCAAGACCCACCTCAACTACCACACCGGTACCAAGCCGTATTCCTGCACTAATTGCGGCGGCAGGTTCTCGCAGAGCAGCAACATGAGGACCCACTTCAAAAAGTGCATCGTCAACAACACCGCCGGGATGACGGCCAAGTCCGGCGATGAGGCCGGTACTGATCGCGCCGACGCCGAGAGCAGCATGGCGCCGCAGGTGGTCCTGACGCCGCCCAACTCCGACCAGGAGTCCAGTATCCTGACACCGATCTCAAAGAACGCTGTCACGATAGAAAGCAACACGTAGCGGTCCCTCCTGCTCGAATGGCAAAATCTCGAGAATGGACAAAGTTAGCGGGGGAATAGCGTAAAAATACTATTGTGGCCAATCAATCCGTCATCTTTCTAACGATGGCGCTCGGTCTTTCAGTAGATAGCGTATATGATAGAGGCAAATGTCGATAGCGATCGACCGGAAACAAACCGCGAACTTTACGTTTGCGCGATTCGAGGACGTCCGTAAACAGTTTCTAGAACGAATCCTTTAAGTCTATATTAACGTAACGTTACAGAAATTATCAGTAAAATTTGCTTCAAACTAGTTATTAGTTAAAAAAAAAGTACGCGGCTTATTTTCTGGCAATCTAACGTTAGTTAATTGAAGCAAGATTGCGTATCTCGATGTGATACGATAGTTATGCATTGTGCCTTCCAGTTCCTGTATTTATTAAACTAATCCCATTTTGTACGTACACGCAGAACTCCATATTCTAATTTAATATTTAATAATTTAGAGTTTAACAATCGAGGAAATTACACTAAATTTTCCGTAAAAGACTTATTTCTCGATGTGGCGAAATCGCCTCGCTTCACCCTTCTTCATTTTAATAATTCCCTCATCGCAAAGACATTGATTATTTTTCGCACAAATTTACGATTTAAACACCATCCGGTTTAAACAACTATTTATAAAGTCTTTCATATGTTTAAGATTTCATAAGCCATAAAATCCGCCGATTCTTGATTTTCGTTAATTTACAACGCTTAAAATTTTTTTTCTATTCGATTTTCAATCCAGTTATTCAATTATTGCAGAGCGAAAGAAAAGTAACAGTATGAAAGAAGAAAACTTGCATTGTTCATTATCAATAAATCTGTTGACGCGCGACTACGAAGGAATATAATTCTATTATATTTTAATTTTATAAACTGAAACTTGAAGTCTTTGTTCTCTCTTTGGCACACGTTCAATAATTACGGTGGTTTGTACTTTTATACCAAAAAAAGGATTCAAGAAATACGTTGTTTTTTTTATTACTTTACGGTTAATAGCTCCTTCGCCGAAAGTGCAACATGTGATTGCAACACGGCAAGTCCAATTGTCGGTTACAACACGGCAATTGCAAATACAATCGAAAAGTCTGCAGCCGTTTGTAGGAAGTATCTCCCCGTATTTGAAAGTAACTCGTCGGACTCCGGAGAGTAATCGATCTTCCATATCAGCGCAAATAGTTTTGCAATCTTTTCCAGGAAATATCCCTATGGCAGCGCTTAAGGATCTATTTCTGGAGCAACTTTGTCAGCGGCTGTGGCTTTTCTCGAAAGGTAAACGGTGTCTTCTTGCATTAAACATCGCGCGGGTAATTTGAGATCTTATCGAGTTAAAAAAAGTTCTTGTTTAATTAAAGTGCAATTGTGTCAAATCCGAGCTCTGTTAAGTAATCCGAGATCTGACGAATAAAAAAATGTCCAAAAACTAACAAAGGTAATTTGTCGAATATATTGTGCAAGACAATAAGTTGCAGATTAAGATATCCTTAAGAAACCGAGCGAACGAAAGTTATTATTCGCTGGAAATAATGCGTTTCTCTATGTATAAAACCAAGACGTTTGTAATGCCGATATGTACATATCTCGATATATAGTAATATATTTATAATATCTTACAAAATTATTGCACGTTAATAGGAAAATACGTTTAATATATGCGTCGACTGTGTATGCGAAGTATATTAAATACACGAAATACAAGTAAGCATTCATATATTGTACAGCTGTGGTTTCGTCGGGCAGATCGAGTCATCTGTTCGACGAATAATAAAAAAAAATTCAGAAAATATGAAAGCTGGAACACTTTGATATTTTCCAACTCGAGAGGTCAGTGTTTTATTAATTTTCTCTTTTTTTTCGAATTGGCGAGACGCCCGCCTAGAGAGCAGGGAGGTTCAGGTTCAAACGCTGGCCGAGGTAATATTTTTCGCAGTAAATTTGCTGTATTGGTCGATCAATTAATAAACGTGGCCAGCTGTGGTCGAATGAAATTTGGAATTTTATCATTAACTTTTCTCGAAAATGCGGACTCTCCTCGCTCACAGAACGCCGCGTTGCACTCGGCGCGATGTACGTCACATCTAGGCATATACACCTGCGGTATACTTTGTGTTTAGGGTAAGGGGCAATCGCGCGACGCACGTACGAAATATAACGGTGCACCGCAGGCAGAACATGCGGACAATGACGATAAATCGCCGCCGCGACGGTGTTCCTCTCGCGGTGCCGGCGGAATTATCGTAAATCCTTCCGCGCGACACAAATCGCTCGTTAATATTCAAGCGCGAGTGAATGACTCTCTCGCGGCAATACGTCATGATTTTTCAGGAGTGCTGGCGGTGGGATGCATCGGCGACTTTTGCCATTAATACGTGTAATGCTTATTAAGTCGTGTATACACTCGCGCGCTCGCGCATGAAATATTGCCTCTTACATTAACGTTATCAAGGTATCAATTTGCGATTTCACATAAACGCGCTTCTGCGAATCCTCCAAGCACGGTATACGCGGTACCCGCAGCTCTTCCCCCCCGCGCGAAGCGACGTGTTTCCAATTTGCGTCTCGCACAATCTCGAAATAATCTCAAGCTTAGATAATCCGCGATTTTTCGAGGCTGGTTAAAATTACATCCACGATTACGGCGATTTCGGATAATACCGCCTCTGTTACGCTGCGAAACGCGTGGAAGCGGACCGGCTGCTTGCACTGGACCTTAGGTATGCGCACAATAATGGCAAATCGCCGGCACGTGATGGTTTGTAGCTCTCGGAGCATATCAGATTACGGAAATAATCCCGGAGGAGCGTGGATGCTGGCGAGCGGATGATGCGCGCGAGATGCGAAATAACAGATCCGCAGAATCGCGCGCGCGTACGGCACGTATAATACAAGGTCAAGCATATGCCTGTAATGGATCATGGGCACCATGATCGAATTGGAGGATCAATGGAAATGAGAATAAGCACCGCGAGGTAAATGTTCTACTTTATTAGAAATAAAGTTGAAGGAAGAAAACTATGAAGAAAGAAGAAAATGCGAATAAATGTTATAAAAATTAGGTGAATTTCGATCAAGAGACCTTTAATAGTATTTCGATCGTTCAACTGTCAGAGAATTTCATATTAAAACTTAACACGAGTTTTCTAGATTAAAATTAAAAGAGCATTCTTGGTATGAAAAGAATTGAAGAAAATTGTTGATGCAAAAACACTCGGCTTTCGTCAATTTATGACCGTGAGAAAAATATATCTGTTATATAACAATGAAATGTAAATTAAATGTTGTTTTACAGACTCGCAGTCGCCGAATCGAATACAGACTTTTGGCAAAAAATCTCTACGAGAGTGCCTTGATTAGACTCGTATTGAAACGTCGGGGTCTTTTGTTTTCCATTACAGTTCGTAGCGAAAGACAACGAGTATCTCGTGAGAAAAAATATATCTGTTAAATAACAATGATATCGTTAATTAAATCGCCGAATCGACTACAGACTTTTGACAAAAAATCTCGACGAAAGTGCCTTGATTAGACTCGTATTGAAACGTCGGGGTCTTTTGTTTTATAATTTACAGTGCAAGACAACGAGTATCTCTTTTCGCGCAAAAATTGATCAATGGCCGTTTACGAATGCCATGCGAATGTCCTGCTCATTCAACGATGCTCTTCCCATTCTTTATACCCGCCGCCTCTCCTTCATCACTATAGGCTATTATATCAAAGATTCTCTCCACTTCCTATTTACCTAATCTGATCGGGAGAAATGGCACCTTCAATAGAACATGTGTAGTCGTAAAGAAGATCTTGAACCTGCTCGCGCTTAGCAAAGACACGACAAAGCTATCAAGGCATTATGTTCAGTCCCAAGTGGGTTCTTAGCGCCGAGTCATCCTCGGCGCATCGTTAATTAGGCTCATGGCTCATTAGATTACATTTACGACATTTTATCGTGTACGAGCCTCAACTTGACTGACTGCTGACCTCGGGTCGAAAGTAGCCTTAACAGTTACATAAAATCGTTTGAGGAACGCGTTTACCGCCAATTTCCGACGCAGACGAAGCTATGATTTAACGTAATTTCTCATTCATTTCATGCTACTTTAAACACGTTTCATATCGATATCTCGAAACTAAAGCTGAAAGAAACTAAGGTTGATCGAAAACTTCTCAATCTCGTGATTTTTTTTTGTTAAAAAATGTAAATTAACTTTCGTAAACAGACTAAATACCATCTGAAATATTATTAAAAATCTATATCGGTTCAATTTTATGTTATGTAATATAATAATTTTAATATTCGCCAAGTTCTCACCTGCACTTATAAAACACGGAAATGAACTAACGTATCTTTTATTTTACAAAAAATGGAAAACACTCCGTTTTCGCAACAGCAGGTATAATTTATTCCCTCTAACATTATTCTATTGAATACCACACTCTGCGCTATACGTTGCACTAATCCCATGTAGAAAATGCGACGCTAAAAGTGCACTCAATGTTACAGAAATACATTAAATAAACACCCATCAATTTGAAACGTCATTGCAATATATTCGAGACCAAAGAGTTTCTTTTATGAAACTTCAAGAAAGAAATCGATCGACGATCCACATGCCTATGCGAATCCGACAGAGCTTTCTCTTGCCCAGCTTCGTCTAATGGAAAACATAGGGATTGTTACTTTCCGGAAATAACTGGCCCCCATTTCAATTATATACACTTGCGCGAAAGTATCAATAACGTCCAAGAATGCACTTCCGCGGTTAAGTACTAAAAGAATAGTCAATGCGAAGGCGCCACGGTGAGAAAAAGATGTAGATTATATAATAAAATGATTTAAATTCTGCAACCCTTTTTCTTTTTCGAATTAATTATATATCGGTGGAATAAACGTTCCAAGAATATATAAATTAATTTTTATTTTATTATTTATTATATTTAATATATTATATATTATATATTTTTATACACATTATATATTGTGGCGATCGTGGCGCAGAGAATTGTGCGCTGGTCTGTTATCCGAAGACCTGGGTTCAAAACCAAACAAAACATTGTTGGTTTTTCGTTCGATCGCCACATAGAGAAGTGTAAGTAGAGAGAGGTGTAGACAATTATACTGTTTCATTTAATATCATGGATAACCCTGCGAGAAGTTACACATTATATATATGTATTGTATATAGGTACATAATAAAATTTTCTTTGAAAACTCAAAATTTTTTATTTTTTAAAATTTACGCTCATGCATTATAGAAAGATGTTAAATCAGATTGTTCTAGCACGAAGCAAAAGTTGCAAAATTAAAAGAACTAAAAGACAAATGTTGAATATCAAAAACTACTTTCCTCTATAAATATTTTTTGAATATTCCTCTAACTTTGGCATTACACTTGGGTAGTTTGATAAAACTCACATTTGAACTGTACATTAATTTACGTTGCCGTCTTTAGCTCTCACCCGGGTTTCCGTAACATTCTTCCACGACTGTGACAAATAATTTATCCGTTTATTTTGATTTATACATCTGTCAGCGACAAATTATATCTCCGACCCCGTGTATCCATGACCTATGCCGAGTTCGCAAATCGGCACTGGCATTTTAAGACTACCTGTTTGGACCGACCGAAGCATCAGATAACGTCCGTTAGAACTGGTTATACCGACACGGTGCGTTACGATCCTGCGGCGCGATACGGAAGATAAACACCGGATAGAGGTCCATCGCGCCTTCAGGTACGGCGCGACTGACCTCCTGAACTCGATGGCCGAGAAGGAGAAAATACACCCGGCCGACCGCTTCCACGGTTCTTTTTTTTTATCGTCCGTTCCACTAATTAGCAGTACTCACGGAAGACTCTCGGGGTTTTCGGTGTAAACGCATAATAACTCACTGGTGAATGTAGAACACGTGGAAGAAATGGAACAATTTTAATGTTGCATCAATTAATTCGCGATAATAAAGGATACATATAAATATCTGCATGTGTGTATGTACATACATAAAATCGTAATGGAATCAAGTGAAGATGTAATCAAATGCACGTACTCCGGGTGAGTTTTTGTCAACGCTTTCTTCGGAAATAAAGTCACGTATATATAAAAATATTTTACTCGATATTTTTTTAAACGCCCCTCATTTTATCACTGCCGAACTTTAATAAATGATACAATCTTTCCGATTGTATCATTTGTTAAAAGTATGGGAACTGCGAAACGTGAAAAATGACTTCACATCTCATAAATTTGTTATAGTAAATATTTAAGTGAGACATCAAATAAAACTTGTTTGCCTATTTAGTCTTTTATTCAGATTTATTATTCGCTAATAATATAAGCTGCGACTACCAGTGTTTTTAGATAATATTAAAAAGAAGTACATATAATTTATTGCTGAAGTGTTTAATTTTGATTTAAAAAACTTTAATTAACTCCATTAATTTACTTTTGACGAGAGGAGACACTCTCTCGGGCGAGCGCTGAAGGTAATTGTTAGCGAGCAAAGAAACATGAACGCGCGCACTGTAAGACATGGGGATTAGCCACACCATTGCCGACGCGACGCTCTAATCATCAATTTGCATATTCATATAAGATTTATAGTGCACCGTCAATTTACATATTCATAATTGAGTCGCACGGGACGGAATTACGAGCGGGAAAAATCGCTTCCTAATACCCTGCGAGCGTGCCGTTTTAGTGGCAGGTGATACGGGAGTCCTATACCTGTGCGCGTAACGTCAGTATAATCATATAATTGAAGTCAATTGACAGTCGCGTTGTAACCGCGATAACGACACCGACCGCAATCGCGGTTGCTAAATGCGCTTAATTGGCGGGGTAGCGTAAAGCGTATATCTGGACGGCGCTGCACTTAACCCCGAGCGATTGCGAGTCGGAATCGTTCGACTTCCTCCTGCGGGCTCGCTCGCTCGCACGCCCGAGCACGAGAGGGACGGCGAGAAGGGATTCCCGTGCGCGAAACCCATTTTTTTCGCGCGGCCAGTTAAATTGTGAGCGTTACGTAAACGCTCAGCGGATCGTGTAAGCGCGCTATTGAGAGACGGAATTGCATCTCGCCGGAGAGTTGCTCGCCGTCCATTTAAGAGTTTGCGTCACGAGCGAACGGCATTGTTCCCCCCGCGGAGCGTTAAATGCTTTTCGATTAATGCCTACCAGATGATTTGCACGGGGTATCCCGGAATCGGATGCCCTTTTAACCGCGGATTCCTCGGCCGACTTCGCGCCGGGCTTTCTGTACGAGAAAGATGGGATTAAATGTGTATCGCGTTT